AGCTAAATTAATTGAAGGATCTGGAAAGGCTTGTATAATGCTTCCAAATGGAACAAAATTAATAATCAATAATGCTTTATATTCGAGTAAATCTCGAAGAAATCTCATAAGCTTTAAAGATGTACGCCAAAATGGCTATCATCTAGAAACAATGACGACAGATCAAAAAGAGTATATATGCCTCACGGCAGAAAAACATGGCAAGAAACATATATATGAGAAATTGCCAGCATACTCTTCGGGGTTATACCGTATAAACATACGACCCGTGGAAATCAATATGATATCTAACCAGAAGTTAGATGACAAACATTTGATTATTTTATGGCATGATCGTTTGGGACATCCAGCAACTGGGATGATGCAAAGAATAATAGCACATTCAGTTGGACATTCAATAAGAAATGTCAAAATTCCCCGATCAGATGAATTAACATGCTCTGCATGTTCACTTGGCAAATTAATAATAAGGCCATCTATGAACAAAATTGCTACTGAATCTCCAAAATTCTTGGAAAGAATTCAGGGAGATATATGTGGGCCAATTAATCCAGCATGTGGACCATTTCGATATTTCATGGTTTTAATTGATGCCTCTACACGATGGTCACATGTTAGTCTACTTTCAAGTAGAAATGTTGCCTTAGCAAAATTACTTGCCCAAATCATCAAATTAAGAGCACAATTCCCAGATCATACAATAAAGAAAATAAGACTTGACAATGCTGGGGAATTTACATCCCAAACATTTAATGATTATTGTATGTCGATTGGAATTGATGTTGAACACCCAGTAGCTCATGTTCATACACAAAATGGCCTAGCTGAATCACTAATTAAGAGATTACAATTGATTGCAAGACCATTATTAATGAGGTCAAGATTGCCATCATCTGCTTGGGGACATGCTATAATACATGCAGCAGCGCTAATTAGATTGAGACCTACAGCTTATCATAAATTCTCACCACTACAACTTGTTTGTGGTCGAGAACCAAGTATCTCACATCTAAAAATCTTTGGTTGTGCTGTATATGTTCCCATTGCTCCACCCCAACGAACAAAAATGGGTCCACAAAGAAGGCTGGGAATTTATGTCGGGTTTGAATCCCCCTCTATAATTAAATACCTTGAACCATTGACTGGTGACTTATTTACGGCTAGATTTGTGGACTGTCACTTTAATGAAACAGTATTCCCAGCCTTAGGGGGAGAGAAAGTGGACCCACATAAGAAAGAAATTGAACTCATTTGGAATGCAACACAACTGTTGATGTTAGACCCACGAACAAATATGTGTGAACAAGAAGTTAAGAAAATTGTTCATTTACAAAGTGTTGCAAATCAATTGCCCGATGCATTTGTAGACACAAAGAAGGTGACAAAATCACATATACCAGCAGAAAATGCCCCTGCACGTATTGAAATCCCAACTGGTAATAAGGCCATAGAAAATGAATCTCAGGCACGCAGAAAGCGTGGAAGACCACTTGGTTCAAAAGATTCTAAGCCAAGGAAACTAAAAAGATTGGATGGAATAGAAAATGAGACTAATAATGTTCCCCCGTCAGAAGGTCAAGAAAGACCAAATGTGGATGAAAGTAAAGAAAATGATGATAATCCAAAAGGGGACGAACAAGAAGACAACCCTACGGGGAATGAACAAGATGTTCAAAACATCGATAACAATGAAATTTCAATGAATTACGTCTCTACAAAGACTCAGTGGAATAGGAAAGATGTTATCGTTAATGAAACATTTGCAAATTCCATCGCAATCGACATCGTGTCTGATGAAAATGATGTTGAACCAAGAACTGTAGAAGAATGTCGACGTAGGAGTGATTGGCCAAAGTGGAAGGAGGCAATGCTGGCTGAGTTAAAGTCACTTGAAAAACGAGAAGTTTTTGGGAAAATAACCCTTACACCGGCAGGTGTAAAACCCGTTGGATACAAATGGGTATTTGTAAGAAAACGTAATGAGAAAAATGAAATAGTTAGATACAAGGCAAGACTTGTAGCCCAAGGATTTTCTCAAATTCCAGGGATTGATTATGAAGAAACATATTCTCCAGTGGTTGATGCAACTACATTAAGATTTCTGGTAAGTTTGACAGTCACAAAAGGACTGCAAATGCGATTAATGGATGTAGTGACTGCGTATTTGTATGGGTCACTCGATACGGACATTTACATGAAAGTCCCCGAAGGACTAAAACTACCAGAAAACCACAAGCCTAGACAACTGCTTTCCATAAAACTAAAAAGGTCACTTTATGGATTGAAACAATCTGGAAGGATGTGGTACAACCGTCTGAGTGAATACCTTATGAGAGAAGGATTCAAAAACAACCAAGTTAGTCCCTGTGTTTTCATAAAGCGATCACAATCAGGATTCGCTATCATTGCAGTTTATGTTGATGATTTAAATATCATCGGAACCCCAAATGAACTCGAGAAAACTGCAAAATACTTGATGAAAGAATTTGAGATGAAAGACCTTGGGAAAACTAAATTTTGCCTTGGACTACAAATTGAGCACTTGAGTCATGGCATTTTTGTCCATCAATCAAATTATACAGAAAGAGTTTTGAAACGTTTCTTCATGGACAAAGCAACCCCAACCAACTTCCCAATGGTTGTTCGTTCTTTGAATATGAAAAATGATCCATTCAGACCCCGAGAAGAAAATGAAGAGATTCTGGGTCCAGAAGTACCATACTTAAGTGCAATTGGAGCCTTAATGTACTTAGCTAACAATACTAGACCCGACATAGCTTTCTCTGTGAATTTGTTAGCCAGGCACAGCAATGCACCAACATATAGGCATTGGAAGGGAGTTCGACACTTACTCCGGTACCTACGAGGGACACAAGACCTTGGTTTATATTACCAACCAAAACAAGATGCTGCTCTCATTGGGTATGCAGACGCTGGATACTTATCAGATCCTCAAAATGCCAAGTCACAAAATGGATATGTATTCACTTATGGCGGCACTGCAATATCATGGAAATCAACAAAGCAGACATTGACCGCGACATCATCAAATCATGCAGAGTTGATAGCCCTCTATGAAGCAGGACGGGAATGTGTGTGGCTGAGGTCGATGATCAGTAATATCCAAAAGGAGTGTGGAATGAACGCAATAACAGAAGACCCAACCATCATCTTTGAAGACAATACAGCATGTATCGCTCAAGTAACTGAAGGATATATTAAAGGAGATAAAACGAAACATATTGCCCCAAAACTGTTCTTCACACATGATCTGCAAAAGGACGAGGAAATAAATATCCAGCAAATTCAGTCTTGTGAAAATCTTGCCGACCTTTTCACCAAATCACTTCCTTCGAAGAAATTTGAACAGTTAGTTCACAAAATCGGAATGCGACATCTTCGTGAACTATGCTGAGATCAGGGGGAGTATTATATGTACTGCACTCTTTTTCCCTTCGATCAGGTTTTTATCCCACCGGGTTTTTCCTGACAAGGTTTTTAACGAGGCAGTATACCAAAGCATATAATACAATAATATTGGTGTACTCTTTTGGCTATGGGTCTTGTCCCATAAAGTTTTGCCTAACAAGATCTTTAGTGGCATTCAAGGGGGAGTGTTAGAAGATAAGTCTAATAAGTGAATGCCAATTATTGATTTGATTACACAATGCTCATATAGGTCCAAACACTTGTGAACTCATATGGCTCTATGTGAGTAATTATTGTATTATTAGTGTAACTCATGGCTATAAATACAATGCCATAGAAGTAAGAATACAATGATAACACTACAACAATTTCACCCATCTTCTTTCACTCTTTTACTCCTTTTATTAATCAAAACTTTTCTATCGGTAAATTCTTTAACAATAAGGTAATTGTTGGTAGCCAATAAAGGTTGTTGGTTGGATATGATTGGCCTCAAAAATTAAAATAAGTTGCACGATAATTGGCGAATTTTTGGACAAGGTCATATTTATGAGGTGTGCAGCTCATACCTCATACTATATTTCATAATATTTGTGATGTTGCACTAAGGTTAACTAGATTGTCATGGACTATATACTATGGTATTATAAGATGTAAGGACTTATCTATTCTCTTAAATGAGTCATAAATTGAAATGGTCTTCTATAGTTCTATACATGTAATACTCCTTATGTTATTATAAACACAAAAAGTCAAGAACTTGAAGAACAATTTGGGCAAGAATTTGATCACAGGATATAATGATAGATTTATCTTAGATTTTTGATGTAAGACCTAGATTTACTTCAAAGATTTGTTGAAAACCTTTGTGTGTAGGACCACGAAACAAAATTAGATGCACCGAATAAATAGTAAAAAAGAATTTGTGAAAAACGGGTGTGCATGCACTTCATTTTTGCCCAGACTGTAAAAAGCATATAAGATATAACCCTTAATACTTTGTACCTGGGTGCGATTTTTTAATACTGAGTGGGTTGTACCAACACGGCATGGCACCAGGTCCATCTAATGGGCTATGTCTTGTGTCCCTAGCTCATGTTTGTAAACACTGACATGGAACACTGTGAGCATGATAGACGGCCCATTATTGGTTTTGCATAAATATTACTTCGTATTTCGTATTTAAGACAAGTGACAAACACTTAAGGTGACATATAGGACTAGCCGTAGAGTGTATGGTGTATATCACGACTGTTGGGGTCCGTTCCATCAATAAAGTCATGGCTCGGACCCATTGCCATGCTTAAGGCATGTTCTCTTTCTTATATAAGCCCACAACTCCACAATGTCCCAAACTAGACGTTTAGCCTACATATCTCTATCTTAAGGTTGTTTGATGGGACAAATTATTGCTAGTTTATTGGGTAGCTCATCTTCCCCCTGCCTAGTTGACATTAAACATCTTTAATTAAGGAGATTTGTCCTTGTCTTTAATAAATCAATTTTTGGTCAGGTTATTTTATCATATTATATGATGACCTTTTCCTTGCAAATTTTATATTATTCATCAGCTAATGAAATCATAGCTTCATGGACAATCAGCCAACCTTTGTAAGATTCCTGAAAAACAATTTGTAATCCAATGTGCTTTAAATTATACAAGTGCTATAAAATGCTAAGAAAATGCAAGTAAATTTGAATTTTGCTCTCTCAAAAGTCAAACACAACCCACCAAAATGGAGGAGGAAGCTAAGGATTTAATCAGTGATCTGCCTGATGCTGTTCTTCATCTTATTTTCTCTTTAATCCCAACCAAATTCGTTATCACGGCTTCTTCGATTTCCAAAAGATGGAGACAGGTTTCTGCTGATCATCTTGAATATGCCAGTAACTTAGACTTTGTAGAAGAGTTTTCCAAGCATCAGAGTCCAAATCAGTTTGCTGATAACCTTAGCAGAATCCTCTGCATCAACAAGTCTGAGAAAATCGACAAGTTCAAGCTATTGTTCAGCCCGAGAAATGAAGAACACAAGTCAAAAGCAATAAGTTGGATTAGATTTGCAACTTCAAGGGGTGTTGAAGAGATTGACTTTGATTTCTGCAGGCATATTTACATCCACTTCTTGTCGAGCGCCCATGTTAATAATAAGAGAGAGGTCTTCGAGTTGCCAGACTTTCTTTTTGACAGCAAAACACTGATAACTGTGAAATTGAGCAGATGCATATTAGGCCTTCCAGAAGAATATGCCGGTTTTGGCAGCCTCCAGACTCTCTGTCTTAAAGAAGTCAATGTAACTGACAGTATGCTTGAAAGTCTGCTATGCAACTGCAAACTGCTTGAAGTTCTGGTTCTGAAGGAATGTGGATCGCTGACTTCGATCAGAATTCTGTCTGCTACACGTCTGAAAAGACTGACAGTTTACGAGTGTTACAATGCCTCGGTTCTTGAGATTTCTGGCCCCAACATCCTGTCCTTGCTGATTAGTGCTGGTCACTTGGATGCTTGTAGAGTGGAAGACATGGTGAATTTGGAGGAGTTATTTATTGGGACTCGAGGCGATGAGTTTGGTGGAGTTTTCTATTTGTTTATGAAGATTTTGTCAGACCTTGCACATGTCAGATCTCTCAGCTTATACTTTGGACACCTTGTGGTACAGTTAAACTACCTTACAATTTGATTCTTTATTTGTTTATTAACATACATCGCCTTGTTAATTTGGGCTAGGCTAATACAAACAGCTAACTCATTAAACACCGCTAGATTCTAGCCTAACTCGATTTAGTACCTGTTTATCTGCAGCCCAGTTTGATCAAAGACTTTCAGGTGAATTTCAGAAATTTACAGGAACTACAACTTGTTAACAGCCCATTATTCGGACTGTTCAACTCTGATGTCTACTGCTTTTTTAAGCACTGCAGTTGCCCTTCTTTGCAATATATTTCCATAGAAGTAAGGCCTAAATTTTTCGATACTCCCTTGCATATTATTTAACACCCTTGTATAATATCTGCTGTATCAGTACTTATTTGGTCCGATTTTGTAGCTTTCGACTCTCGCAGAGGAGGAAGACTTCATCTGGGAGTTCCGAAAGCCTTATATCAAACCTGTCGACTGTATTTTTAACAATCTGAGGACTGTCACATTGAGCAACTTCAGAGGAACTAGTTCAGACATTGAGCTTGCAGAATATTTCTTACTAAGAGCCCCAATATTGGAATCAATGTTCTGTATTACGCCCCAAAGTATGAATGCCAGAAAAACAACGGTATCAAAGGAGGAAGTTTCTTGTTCAACATCAAAGAAAAATGTGACCAAGGTGATTCAAAAGGGTATTTGTGACATGCTTTACAATAATCCTTATAAGGCATCAGCAGTTGCTGAGATCAGACTTTGCGACAGTGGTGAACGCAACAGTTTGTTATCTTTTTTCAATCGGCATCATGTTTCTGATGTCTACCTCAAATAATTTTGAGAAATAATCAGAGCTTGGTTGAGCCCTTCTTTGATTATATATTTATATATATGTTTGCATATTTTGGAATTTCTGAGTTTAATCAAGAGAATGTCCTCAGAAAGTGTTTGATGTTTCTATTTTTTAGTGCAGACAATGTTCTGAGTATATTATTACTAATGTTCGTTGTACATAAATTATGTATAAAACATAAAACTATTACGGAGTAACGTTTAGCTAATGTTTTTGGGGCAGAGTTTAATCTAGGGGTGAAAGTTCGGTTTTCGGTTTGGTTTTTGGCCCAAACCGAAACCGAACCACCATATTTCGGTTTCTTGATTTTGCAAACCACACCGCACCACTTTCTCTTTGAAACCGAACCGAACCAAACCACCTAAATTTCGGTTTTCTTAAAAAAAACCAAACCGCACCGAATTTTCCTATCAAGCCTCATGAACATCAAATTTTGCAAAAAAACCGAACCGAACCAAACCAATTAAAACCGAACCAAACAAAACCAAACCAATCCAGGGTATTAATTATTACCATCCCACCTTATCACCACCAACACCCACCCACCACCCATCACCCTGACCACCTAAAACCCACCCACCACCCACCCTAACCTACCAAAACCACCGAAACTCACCACCCATCCCCCAAAACCACCCGAAACCCACCCGCCATCCACCCTAACCCATCAAAAACCACCCGAAACCCACTCATCATGCATCAACCCGAATCCATCAAAAACCACCCCTCCACCCACCAAAAACTAAAGAAACCCACCATCCATCCTGACCACCCGAAACCCACCCAAAACTACCTACCACCACCACAATTCAATCATACACCACCATAAAAATAAAAAACTCAAACCAAATTAAAAGAAAGAAAAAGAGGACATACCTCACATTCCACCGAAAAACCTCGAATTTGGGTTTTAAAGGTCAAATTCGACCATGAAAACACTAGATCTAGTGTTTTCATGGTCGAATTTGACCTTTAAAACCTTTAGAATGTGAACACTGGTGCCCAGGTGGTCGTCCTTGCCTCCTTGGTCGTACTGTCGAAGAGGAGAAGAGAGTGAAAGTGGAGAAGAGATCGAAGAGGAGAGAGAAAGGACAGAGTAGAGAACTAGAGATTGGAGAAGATAAGAAGAGGAAAGGAGAAAGAGAGAACCGAGAGGGAGAAAGCTCACAAATGGAGAAAAGAGAAGAGGATTAGAGGAGAGAGAAAGGGCGGAAAGAGAAGAGGAGAGAGTGAGAGGCTGAGAAGAGTGATTAGGGTTTTTTTTTTTTGCCTTATATAGTATGGGCCGAAATTCGGTTCGGTTTCGGTTTTCATTTCCCGAAACCGAAACCGAACCATACAATTTCGGTTTCTTGATTTTACAAACCGAAACCGAACCACTTAAGAAAAAAACCGAACCATATTCCTAATTCGGTTCGGTTTTCGGTTCGGTTTGGTTTTAAACCAAATTTGTTTCACCCCTAGTTTAATCATATATGCACACGGTTGATGTTAATTTAAAAATGCTTAATAGTTATAGTTGCATAGCTTAATATTTATGTTTTTGTGAGTGATCACAATTGCAATATATTTGTAACCATATTCTTTTATTACGTATTTCCTAAGCATAGAAATTGTCCGACTAAGTGTCATCTTTATTTTAAAGCATACAACTGTAATTTAATTGAACTTTATTCAAATTTAAAAACAGCACAATAAATGATGTCACATAGTTATAGACTGAAGATTTGATTAATAGTGTAAGTTGAACTAACAATGTGACAATATTGGACATGGTTCAACAGTGTTCTTGTGGATCCGGAGGAACTTGACATCTCCAAGTAACAAAAAAATCACAATTACATCTTCCGCAACACCAGTGAACGAAGTTGCAATGATCATCTACGTCTCGGCAGGATTGAGGAGTGGCGTTGTCTACACCGATCTCATTAAGCATAATGCTCGATACGGGACCAAGGGAGCGAGCAGCCGAGGTAGTTTGAGGTGCGGTTGTTAAGACCACAACAAAGGTAAGTATGAATATAAGACTTACACTCTTTTTCAACATCATCTTCACTTATCTTTTGGAGATTGTTTTGCATTATTGATCGGCCCTTTTTATAGATAGGGGATGGGCGAAAGCATATGCGTGCATGCTTGTGATAGGTGAATGCACCCTTACTAAGCGAACACGTTTTTTGTTTTTAATTTTCAGTTTATAGAAACCACAAAAAGTTGTTACCAATATGCTTATTAGTTTTTTTAAGCAATATCCGTATTATAGATATGACTAATATTAAGTCCATCTGTCTATAAATAGCTCACTCACATACGTCACATTTTATATACAATTTAAAAAGAATGAAAAACTAACAAACTAGTGATTCCAAGTGGGCTAATGTAATATTTGTGCCCTTGTTAGAGTTTATAAAGACCTTTAAAAAAAAGATTTCTTAGGCTTTATCTGTTTTTAAAAATTTCTTCAAGAAAATATATAAATTTCTCATGGAAAAAAAATTTCAAAAGAAAAACAGTTAATGGTATAAATGGCCCCTTTGTTTCCTAGCAACAAAATTTATAGAAAAAGGGAAATGGAAGTTTGTGAGAATTTGAGAGATAAATTTTTAAACTTTTTTTTTTCTACACCACCTTTATTCATCTAACTGTAGTCAATTTTACATAAAAAGGTGATCGTAGAAGATAATGATGCTTTATTCTTGTGGAACGTTACATGCATGAATAATAACAAACTAACAGATCAAGCATTTGCCATAGATAGTGCTAATATAAGTATTCAAAACTCATGATGTTATTTTTTAATTTTTTTTAATTAGACATGGGCTTAATGAACAAAATTACTAACTATAGAGTATGAATTACAGGACTAATACCATAGAATTCATGCCTGAATTGATTGTCACTTAAATCAAAGTATAAGATCAACTTAAACCAAATATAGGATGAAGGCCTTGCCTTACTTGGGATGCTAGTAACTTGCACATCATCGATTACGGCTCTGTTTGGTAGGGTGTAAAATGTTTTACACCATTTTCTCTTCTTTTCCACTATCTGGATGTAAAACAATTTTCCATCAAGAGTATAAAAGCTCTTGTATGAGTGAAATTTATTTTCCTTTTGAAATGGCGGGAAAACACTTTTCCTTAGCAATTTTTTACCTTTCCTCCTATCCGTCCTACCCCTTTCCCTTCCACCTTTTTTTTCCCAATGTATTTTTACATTTTATTGTAAAATGTTGTACATAAAAATTCATTTTACACTGAAAATGTTTTACACCCTATCAAATAGAGCCTACATGTGCTAGTGAACCTTGTGATCAAGCTAATCATGCCTGAAACGATCAAATATAGTTGTGCATATTGGCTCATGTCAAACTATTTTTTTTTATTTTTTTTTAATATTTTTTTTCTTGATGATTTGCTATCGATTAAAAAAAGATGGTTAACACTCTGACTCGCAAGCCGACCCATTATACTTGTGTGTTTTTTAAACTCTATATACTATATATACTATATAATTCCTAGAAAAATTCATAAATTACACGTGTCAACTATGATGTATGGGCACTTTTAATAATCATTGTACTCATATTGGACACGCAATGCGCACCACCGCACCCATATCCCTATGGATACATGATACTTAAATATATAATTTTATTATATTTTAAAAATATATTTTAACAAACTTTGATTTAAATTTATTCAATTTGATAAATATTTGAATGATTTTTTTCGCCTTCGTAGAATACATAAAGTATAATTTCTTAGATACTATTGAAATTTTGTAAAATTATTTTTTAAGAGTATATTATACCATACTTAATTAACCGTACCCGTATCCTCTATTTTCTAAACAACCGTATTACATACTCGTTTTGTGTCCGCACCCGTATCCTCTATTTTCTAAACAACCGTATTACATACCCGTTTAGTGTCCGTGCCCGATTCTTTATCCGTTCTAGTGCAACCAAGTGTGTCAACACCACATAAAAAAATTTCCCGCCAAAAACATTGGTTTTTTTTTTTTTTTTTTTTGTTGTTGTTGTCATTTGTTTTCATTAAAAATATAAATAATTTCAAGTTAATTTTAAGCTTGAAATCTAAAAGCAGTCCATAACTAAAAGTTAATTTTATCAGGGTAAAAGATAAGATAGAAAATTTCAATTTTAACATACACAATTCTATGTTCAATTCTATTAACTATTATTAAAACAGAGTATGCTGACATTACCACCGCCTACATGTCGCTCTCTTAATAAAAAAATTCCCTCTAATTGCAAAGATGATGTCATTTTTTTTTTTTTTGGAGCTATTATATTTAATGTTTTTAAAATTTAAATATTGGAAGCTTCCACATTACAACTAAAACCTATCAATTAATCTTAGGAAATTAAAATAATTTTAAATGGTATACTAATAAATTACCTCCTACATTGAAATATGTATTAGTTGACGTTGAATCGTACTACTACCTCCGTTAATTATAATTTGTAACAAAGAAATATTTTATGTCTCACAAATAATACCTCTTTGTTAGTATATCATAATTTTGATGAAAATCTAAAATTTTAAAATTACTTATTTTTTTGTACAAGGTTTTATTTAAACCGTGCATCGCACGGGTTCTAACCTAGTTGATTGAATAAAAAAAAAAAAAGGTTGTTATATATTGATAATTCCAGTAATTGATCGAGTAAGTACATCAACTTTTTTTTTTTGAGAGCAAAGTAACGATTAAATTAAGAAGATAAGTCCAAAGATGTCAACGTTACAATAGTAGGTGGGAAAGGGGCAAAACGAATTACTTCCGATGCAGAACTCATATCACCTCTCGCCACTAGATGAGCCACAGTATTACCCACCCTCTTCACATGAGAAAAAATACAATGTTCAAACGAAGCACCAAGAACACTAATATCCCTGTATATAGAGAAGATAGGGGCTCTCCCTGTGCTTAGAGGCGATATTGATGTTATCACATTTTGTGCATCAGATTCCACCCAAACATTCCTATGGCCATACCTTTTTGCCAATATTAGAGCATACCGTACTGCTTGGGCCTCAACGCATTCAGGAGAAGCTAGAGGAGTTTGTCTTGTGGTTGTGAACAACAATTGACCTAAATGATCCCTGCAAACCACCCCCATTGCTGCCAAATCTTGGTTGCCTAGATGAGCATCCACATTAAGCTTCACCCATCCTAAATCCGGACACTTCCATTTAGAGGGAGAGTGCTGTACAGGTGTTGCTGCCTTCCCATAGACCCTCTTCGAAATTTTTTCATAGTCGGTCGCATAGCTGCACCAACTTATCGCTACTTTTACCGCATCAGGCTCAACATTATCATACACCTTGGAGTTCCTACATCGCCATGCCGCCCACATTAAGGCTGCCATCAACAATAATGTATCCTTCGACACCTTATTTTTCAACCATTGCCAACAGTCTATGAATGAACCCGTAGGAGCCTCGGCAATTAGGCTTTCAAAATTGCTTCTTCTCCATATCTCTGTAGCAGCGGTACAGGAAAATAGGGTATGCATAATAGACTCCTCAGATGATCCGCATATATTGCAGCTGCTATTGGTAACGATGTGTTGTTGATGTAGCCTCGCTTTAACAGCCATATTACCCTTTAGAGCGCTCCAAATGAAATGCTTGATCTTTGGGGGAAAATACAAGTGCCACATTGACTTCCACATATCCTCACCATTATTGACAGCATTACTCCCCATCCTTATCATCCAGTAGCAGGATTTGACAGTGAACAAGCCATTTTTTGTAAGTCTCCAATAGACTTGATCCTCCTCCCCTGTGAAAGATAAGGGTCGTGCAAGTGCTAGGTCCGCATCAGTGCCTAGCATCACCCTTACCATGTCTTCATTCCACTGCCTAGGGATATCGCTCATAAGCTCTGCTACAACCAGCCCTTCACTCACTTCCTGATTCTCCCTATGGGGAATCACTCTAACCCCTTCCCGAAATAACCATGGATCCTGCCATACTCGAATCCCTCTCCCATTGCCAATTTTCCACCCTATGCCATCTCGGAGGACCCCTTTAGCTCCCCACCAGCTTCTCCATAAATAACTCGAATCATAGCCTCTACAAGCCTCTAGGATACCCGTTCGTTTGAAGTATCGAGCCTTGACAACGGCATACACTAGAGAATGCGGGTTAGTAAGAAAACGCCAGCATTGCTTAGTGAGGAGAGCTTGGTTAAAGTCCTTTAAATCACGAAATCCCATTCCACCATTGCCCTTTGGAGTACATAATTTATCCCATGTCTGCCAATGAATTTTCCGCTTCAAGTCTGAGGTGCCCCACCAGAATCTGTTTAACAGCTTATGAATTTCTGCAATAATGCTATCGGGAATTCTGAATAGGCTCATTATATATGTGGGTATGGCCTGTATTACAGCTTTTAGTAGTATTTCTTTACCAGGCTTTGAAAGGAGCTTATCCTTCCAGCAGCTAAGCTTCTTGCGTATCCTATCACATACACCCCCAAAGATTGTCTTCTTTGATTTCCCAATGATAGTCGGTAAGCCCAAGTACTTTTCATGCTTATCAATCTCCTTGACACCCAGCATATCAACGATCATAGCTCTCCTTTCCATAGGTACCTGTTTACTAAAAGCCACTTCTGTTTTATCTAGGTTGACGTTCTGGCCCGATGCTCGTTCGTACTTCCTGATAATGTTAGTAATTTTTGAGCATTCCTGCAAAGTAGCTCTTGTAAACAGGATACTGTCGTCTGCAAAGAATAGATGAGAAATTCTTGGTGCAGCTCTACAAACTTTCGCCCCATGAATAGTCTTATCCCTGGCAGCCTTAGACAACAAAAGACATCAGCGCAAATCAAAAACAAGTACGGAGATATTGGATCACCCTGTCTCAAACCTCTCGACGGAGTAACCGAACCATAGATTTCCGAATTCAGCTTGAAGGAAAAGGAAACCTTTGAGATACATTCCATCACCCTTGTGCACCACCCATCAGAGAACCCCATTTTCTCCATCACCCTCTTCAAGAATCGCCATTCTACCCTATCATACGCTTTGCTCATATCCAGCTTCAACGCTAAATTTTCGGCTCTCCCTTCCCCTCCTCTCTTCATAATATGAAAAATCTCGAAGGCAATGGTAGCATTGTCTGTAATAAGACGACCCGGTATAAAAGCACTCTGATTTGTGGAGATGATGGTATTCAAGAACGGTTTTAGCCTATTAGCTAGAGTCTTTGAAATAATTTTGTATAGCACATTACAACAGCTAATAGGTCTAAAATCCTTCATTTGCTTAGGTTCATAGCACTTCGGAATTAAAACAATGCACGTATTGTTTAGCCTAGCAGTATCATATCGGCCTTCCCACCAATTTTTAACCATACATACAATGTCATGTCCAACAATATGCCAGAAATTTTGGAAAAATAAAGCATGCATACCGTCAGGGCCCGGCGCTTTGTTAGGATGCATTTGGAACAGAGCTACTCTTATCTCCTCTGCAGTGGGAATTTTGTTTAGACAATCATTCATCTCCGTAGTCACCAGGGGTGAGACTCCTTGAAGCGCCTCTTCAAAGTCCGAAGGATCATCAGAGGTAAAGAGATTTTCAAAATATGAGACCACTGTGCCTTTAATCCCATTTTCATCTTCTCTCCAATTGCCTTCAGAATCAAAGATGCCATCAATTCGGTTGTGAACACGTCTAGAACTTGCTTTGCGGTGGAAATAAGCCGTATTTTTGTCACCATCTTTCATCTCATTTGCACGAGCTCTTGCGAACCAATACGATTCCTCCATTCTCCTCAAATCAGTTATTTCCTCAGAGCCTTTCACATTTTTCAAGTAGGAAGCCATCCAATATTCCTCCCTGCACCTCTTTTAATTCCTTCTCACAGTCCCTCAGCCTCTTCCTGATATCCCCGAATTTCTTCTGAGCCCAAGACTTAAGAGAACTTGCGCACCAAGCCACCTTTTCGTGTGGCATAGCATCAGCATTTTCCCTCCAAGTCTTCTCCACCACTTCAGTACATTCACTGCTAGATAGCCACCACGCTTCAAATCTGAAAGGCCTGCTCTTCTTTCCACGATCAAAAATCATAGTTGTGGACATCATAATGGGTGCATGGTCAGAAGCTATTCTCACCATATGCTTAACTTCAGCCTGGGGAAACATATTGCACCACGCTTCATCACCCAGAAATCTATCTAGCCTTTCCCGAATGACCGTTTCTACTGTCCTACCCCGCTGCCATGTATAAGCACAACCTTTAAATCCCATATCTCTTAAATTGCAATCTTCAATGGCATCACGGAAATTCTGCATTAGACACTCTCTCCTCATAGCTCCCCCTTCCTTCTCTAAAGAGCTACTGATCTCATTAAAATCACCGAAAAATAAGCACGGTGTAGAGCATTCACCCTTGAGTTTCCTCATCAATTCCCAAGTCTTGTATTTATTCTCCGTATCCGGCCACCCATATATTCCACACGCTCTCCGACTGTGTATTAATTGAAAAGTCTGAGCATAACTTGAACTTGTTATATCTATGCACTGTCTATGCCCCAACGCTATGCAGGATCGTGCTAATTTTTCCCTGAGACTTATTGTGGCCTCAATAAGGTACTTATAAGGCCCCAAAGATAGAAAACGTTTACTTACACAAGTAATTATTGCTATTAAAAAAAAAAAAAAAAAATGGAGTTCAAGTTGGGAATGGATCACGTAAGACCGCAACTACCTTACACAACTTGGTTTACTTTGTCCAACAACTATCAGGCCCAACTTATCCTTTTTTTTTTAAAAAAAATTAATTTGGGGCCCTTCAAATGAGGGCCCTTCAAGTAGTCAAGTTGGATATATTAATGCTCTAACCTCTACGAGCTGGGCATATGGGCAATTATCTCATTGGATAATCCAAATTTAAGAACGTGACAATTAAATACAAAAACAAGTACTCCGTAGAAAATTCATAGGAAGCCAAGCATTCTCCGTGACAAGCATCATAAAGAATACTCCCTCCGTCTCATTTTCTTATTTAAAATACTTTAATAATATTTAATTCATTTCCTTCAACTAGGGGACCCAACATAAAACATATTTTATTAATTTCATATTCTATTTTCTCCAATTGTTTCAACTACTTTTGCTTTTTACATCCACCTACCCCACTACCTCCATATTTAATTACTTTCTCCAATTTCTCCTAAAACTCCACGTATAGAGAAATGGAGCAAGTATTTAAAAACGGAGGGAGTATAAGTTAACAAGTACTTCCTACATTTTCATTTAGTTGTATTATGTAACACTTTGATTTATTTTCACCCCATTCACTTATTTTAGTTTAACTATTAATATTAATTTTCAAGAATAAATATATAGTCATTTATGTATGATCATCTTACCTTGTCATAATGTATATTCTTAATATATTAACGTAAATAAATTAATAGTTACATATATTAACATTAGATGTTATACATTGACAAACAACTAAATAAACACGAAGCAGGCATATATAATTCACAACAATTTAACACGAACATAATCGTAATTCACATTTTATTAATTATTCGAAATCAATAAACTAGTGGACAATTGACATAGAAACCATATGAAAGAGCACAACTGCTCCCTCAATTATTCCGACAGGAATGACGTAATAACTCCCACTCTAAACAATCCTTACGACAATTTCAACCCCAAATAAATTAAAAGAAATTAAATAAAAATAATAAAAAACTAATTGTACGATGTACACTTGTACAAGGTTGTTTAGTTTAACACTAGTTAACAAAAGCACAATGTTTTCTTATTTCACCAGCTGACCCAGTGAGTACTTGGACCTCACCCATTTTAACCATGGCTTGACCAAACTCAGCAAAGAAAGCCTCCAATGGACCATTCACTAGCTCCTTGATGTAGGATAGAGTCGTAAGCGATTTCGTAAGGGCGGCGTCCGATTGGAATAGGCCTCGCCTTTTCAAGAGAAGTTTGTAGTAGCTCAAGTCGAATGTCCTGTGACTTCCAGGGTCCATTTCAGCAATGCTTGTGTTGTCACTTGGTGTTTTGCATTTTCTTTCCTTTAGGTTGGCCGCATACTCGCTGTCGAGTGATGGGTCTTGGCCGTACCCTCGTCCGGTGAAGTTGTATAATCGCTCGTTGAATGATGAACAGTGTGCTATTCCTATGGTGTGAGCACCTGCAAATATGGTACATAACATAGTTCAGCAAAAATAACTACAAGTGTGCATTCATACAATATGGAACATGCATGGAGCATATAAAGCAATATTTTAATTTTCACGTTATTATTTTTTTTAATTGGTGTTTAGAGAGCCACAAGAACGGGTTGAGAATCGATCACCGGGATCTCCTGAAACTGGGAGGGAAGCTCTAACCACTTTAGCTATCCTTTACTCTCAGTTTCACATTCTTATTATATATATATATATATATATATATATATATATATATAATAAGAATACTAAACCGACACTTTTCATAGTGGATCATATTTCAAAGTTATTATTGGTCAACACTTTTTAAATCCACACAATTCATCATACATTGATACCTATATAATCATAGTTGAATCTAAATATATTATAAGGAATACTAAAGATTTATAATATTGGATTCAGTAGTTGTTATAGAGTTATCTTTATAAAGAGTAACGTACATACGATTAAGTCTTTGAAAATTCAGTTTCAACCTATCTTGACTTGTGCTGTGATTAATTGCACATTATTTGCACGTTATAATGTGAAACTGGGCCAAAAATTTTCAAAAAAAAAAAAAAAAAAAAAAAAAAGCCAAATGCTAGGCTACGACAAAGTTTGAGATGATATATTGATAGTTACGCTTACCAGAAAGCAAAACCAAGTCTTTCAAATCAAGACCCTTGCTAGCAAAAATGGTCTGGAGTGAGCTGAAGTTGCTAAAGGGTGGTGGGATATCTTGCAGTGCTTCACTGGCGTTTGAAATCCGTCCGTCTCGTCGACCAGTTGTTACCGGCCACCATGGACCTCCCTACGAAATTCACAAACATACTTAGCAAAGTTGATATGGAGATCAATTGTTTCAAAAAGGGTACACATAACACATACGAAAATAAAAATGCTAGTCCTTGACTAGGAGAATGAAAATTTAGAAGACACGAAGTATAAAATAAGGTGAAAAATTTAATCCGAACAAAGAGAGTATATATCATATATACTTTGTATATTATTGCAATTGTTAAATGTCTAAACTTACAACGGTCCAAACTGAATCTCTAGCAACCAAAGCAATGATATCTGCACAAGACACAACACCGGGACATTCTTCCTCAAGTATGCTCTTAACACTATCAATGAAGCCAAACCCTCTTAGTGTCAAATTTGGGTTGGCGGTCTTTTCGGTATCATTGTTTCCAACTTCGGTTTTATTTAAGAGTACTGATCCATCACAACCCTGTAAATCGTCAAAAAAAAAAAAAAAAAAAAAAAAGGTAAATAAGAACCACATAGTAAGATGTACACGTAAACTAAAACGAACTAATAAGAACAAGTTATAGTAGATGACTAACCCTAACGAAGCAATCATGAAATTGCATTCGAAGAAGAGGAGCAGCCATAGACTGAGCATGTGGGATGTGTTGATGCACATAGTCTTGCACAATTGCCTCGGCTTTCGGGCAACTTTGAGCATAGTAACCAAGCTTCAATTGTGCCTCAGCAAGGCCTATAAACCCTAATAATCCTAGAAATATCATCATCATCATTTTACTAGAAACACCCATTTTCTTGTATTTTTCTTGAAACTTCCTAATTAATAAACTTAAGAAGCTCCAATGTTTGTGGTAGTAATTAGCACAGGGACACGAACTATATATATAGAGTGAAGTTTGAGTTGATCTAGCACAGTATGATTAAGTTGTAATAATGCATGATAACTAACTATTCATAAATTACACTAACTAACATGTGTTATCTTATTATTTTAATTAATCATAATTTACGTCAATAAGGTTGTAATTAAATGAGTAGTTATATTACTTTATGAGAGTGTAACAACTATAGAGTGATTAATTACGTGATTAGTTAGAGTCGGCCGAAGAAGGTGACAAATAATGACAGTTCAATGATAAGATAATATTTTCCCTAATACTTTTCATGCATGTATGTTTGTGCATATACAACAATTAAGTTGTTCAATAATTTGGAATGAAAGTGATTCAACATTCTACAATTCTTATCAACATGTTCCACAGAATGTAAAGAGGAATGTACCAAGAAGTCTGCATGTGAAACAATTACACATCATGTGCATGTTTTCCTTAGGCCAAGGGGGCGGCCCTATGCTAATTGGAGCTTCAAAATAGTAAATCATGCGCGATTTCCTTACAAAATTACTCCAATTATAGTGATATCATTAATTAGTTTGTTTGATTCCTATGGAATTTAACTATAAAAGTATAGACCTATTTTCTTTGGAGACCCTCCAAATAAAGCTCTCGACGGCTATGCAATAGGCTAAGGCATCTTGCACGCCCTCATGGCCTCATCAATGACCATACTTATGCATTCCTTAGCTTCTAACTCTAAGAGAGATAGATGATATTCACGATCAGTTACATTTTGAAAATCACAAAATTATACTTCCTCCGTTTTAGCAATATTGCAACAACTGAAATTTTATACTATTCATCACACTTATTTGACCACATATTATGATTTATACGTTAAGTAAAATATAGTCATGTGGGGTCTTATTAGATTTGTCTCGTAAAATAGTTTCACAATATCAGTTTTTTATAATTTTTACTCTTATATAATTATAGATCTTTAGCATATAAAATGTGCTTTAGGATGCATAAGTATAAGAAAGTTACAGAGGAAATGATACATAACTTTGTATATAAATATGTTTTCATGTATAGAAAATGACAGCCTCAGACTTCTCTTTCTTATACTTAATTTATACTTCGTAGATTGTTGAAAAAGTTTTAAAAGGGAATAGGTAGTCCTAAGCTGAAAGAGTTGTATGGAACTCTGGAAGGCCAACTAAAATGTTGTCAAGATATATAGGTATATGTGAATAGTGCAAATTGAAAAATCAAGTTGAACAATTAGGCTCCGTTCTATTTTATTATTTTTCTTCTTATTCAAAAAAAAAAATAAGCTATGATCATTTCTAAAAAATAAAGTTCAAATAAATTCTGACAATAAATAAGTTCTATTAAAGTATGTAATAAAATAACATCAAACGCTATACTTACAATCAAGTTTTGCCACATTGAAGATAATAATTTTGCTAAAATGAAATAAATTTAGACAAGTTTAGACAAATAATTAAGTTGATAGAATAACCTTAGTACTACGGAGTAGTAAATATAGGGGCTGGGGGAATTTAACTTGATTGTGCTATTGATTGTACTTTAACCAATCCATTTT